GTTTTATTTTGAAAATTCAATGATCCTTCAATGCTTAGCACCTTGGTACAGGTCTGTACTAATGGGTGGTACTGGCTGACCAATCCTTGGAACAAAAAAGGTTAGGGATCGTTGGTATAGATGTAACTACTCCATAACAGACTAATACACATTTCTGCAATTGATTATTATTATTATTATTTGATTGATTAAAAAATTTCTTAGGTTAAGAAACTCTGCTGCATGGACTTTACTAAATGCTTTTTAAGCTCCCGCGGGCCACACGAAATGGCTTGGCGGGCCGCATTTGGACCCCGGGCCTTGAGTTTGATTATTACTTTTAAGGATTTGTCCTTCCACAGGTCCAACAATGATCAAACATGGAGTTGCATCTCACGTTCTCAGTCCTGACTCCATTTGCTGCTTTGTCATAGAATGACCATGGCTTAATTTTCCTCCATTTAAACTAGTAAAGTAAAACCTGACACAGGGTAACTGTCTTACTTTAAGAGTTGCTTGAGAATGTCAACTCCTCAACTCCCTCAGTTTAGTTGACTGCATAATGTAGCTTGACAACATTTTCTGGTGCTGTAAATGGACATTGTCACTCACCTTGACATGTGTAATGCCTAACAAAGACGTGTATGTGTTACTGTATGAACGATGATGGATTTTCTACCCCTCAAGCGTTTTTAGGGTCAGTAAGCAGTTATGAGTTACCAATAAATAGTCCTAATTGGTTGATGTCACTACATTAACTAATACAGCACTGACACGCACCTGTGCTGGCGACTTCGAGGAGATGGTGCTTGGTACTCATGCCAACCGTAGTAAGATCTTGATAAGTGAAGTCCTCACTATCATCCTCCCTGTCTCTATCACTGGCCTATACTTGAGTCTTCTGCTTGGAAGATGATGAAGATGCTGCGAATGCACAACTCTGTCCCTGACTCCATACACAGCTCAACTGCAGACTTTGGGTCCAATGTCACTGGGGCAATCATGTGACAGACGAGAGATCTTCTGTGTTTTTTATCATGTTCCTCTGCTCAGAGACAGTAATTGACAGTTTATCCAGTTTGATGATGTTGTTGTAAGTGATGGGATAGCTTGTATTTATTATTTTGACTTTGACATTGGATGCCAAGTGATACACTAAAGAGGCTGCTAAGTGTTTCCTGCTCAATTTAATCCTTTCTTTCAGAGTGGCTTCTTCTTTTAAGGTGCCTCATATTTTTTGAGAATATAATATATATAGGGAGAATAGTGTTTTGTTGCAAAATAGTGAAGCTCATGTGTTTCATGAAACTAAAACTTTCCTCTCTTCAGTTAAACTCCAGAGTAAGATCACCTTGCCCTGGTTAGCATAGACATTAGAAACGGTGCTAGTCATCATCAAAACTGTGCACTGTGTGTAAAACTGTGCAGTTGATGCCACAATTTTATCTTTATGTTCTCTATTAGCCAACTCCCTCCTAAGTGCTCAAGATGTTGTCTTCAGATGATGCCATGGTCAAGCCTGTTGGCAAGATGGTTGAACTAGCTGCATAGTTTTAGCTGTTTTAGCTTTTTGGACATCATAGGGATTCTCAGTATACTACATATAGAATCACAAAACTTAGATCTGAGATGCTCTCTCTCTCTCTCTCTCAAGCCTCAAATAGCCTCAAAATGGTAACTAAGTAAGAACATGATTTTCCTTCTTCATCACAATCATAGTTTTTTGGACAAAAATGTGTCCCAAACATTTTGAGACTCATATGTGCACACACGCTTACTTAATGAATCATGCACTCTCTCACACGTACACACACTGCAAAAGCCTTTTTTGTTTTTGTTAGCATTATTACCCATTCCACTGAAGCGTACCTTATCTTTCTATTGTCATGTGGGGAAACACAGTCTGTTTAACAACATGAACAAAAAATCATCAGTTATAATGACCTCAGTCATGTACCCACTAAGTTTAGAAGAAATGAGTCATTTGCAGATTTATTTACACACATCTAGACTGCGTCACATGGAAAATGGAAATTCCTGCACCTTGTAATCTCTTTTCCAGTCAACATCGTGTCATCAGTTATTTGATATTTACTATACTCCTGTAGGGAACATTGCCTTAGGGGTGTTTTAAGCTTAAAGCCTTAACAGCATATCCTGCATTTCAATGTAGCTCCTTCAACAGTAAAAATGTTACTTATTGAGAGGTTTTTTTGGGGTTGAATAATTCAGATTTATCAAATTATGTGTTACTATTACAAACTAATGCTGTCTATTTATTTATATATTTCACCAGAGCTCTGAATATAGAAACATGTAGAAGAATGCAAACAGGCAAATGTTTCTTTGACTCCTGACATCAATGAGACATTTATATGAATGAATAACAAGTGTAAATCATGTTACATGCCCCCTAATTATATGAATGAATAACAAGTGTAAATCACGTGACATGTCCCTTAACGGCACAGTGTGACCATAACTCCGGTTCCTTAACCTACAGTACACATACGTAGGGTGAGGTAAAGCACTTAAACTGTGTGCATTAGTTACCTCAGTAACAGCTCTATTATATATTGAAATTAGTGACCAAGAAAAACTTCTGAAGACTTATAATTTTCAGTATCACAAAGTTGACTCACCAGTTAAAGTGTTAGTTAAGTCTTTCATTGACATGTATGCATCTAGCAGGCACTTTTATCCTAAGTGACTTACAAGAGGAGGATTAACAAGCTATATAGGATAAGGAAAATATATCACAGGGAATGTGCTAGGACAGGACCTACTCTCTGAAGAGCTGGGTCTTCAGGCACTTCCTAATGATAGGCAGAAAAGCCTTTACACCAGCGTAGTATATAACCCATGAGAAGTGCCTGGATTGTATTGTGCATAGCATTGGTGGTCAGTTTGAAGCTCAAGCTCCAGAGATTGTGCCAGACAATGCTTCAGAAGCACTGTGTCAAGGGTTCATTCGTTTGAATTTAGTTGGATTTACTTCAACAACTATGGAAGTATGAGACGGTTTTGGTCCATAATGGACAGCCATTTTCTGGGCCCTTCCAGTCGTTTGAATTTAGTTGGATTTACTTCACTGGACAGCCATTTTCTGGGCCCTTCCACTTCAAAGTCCTAGGCAAAGACAATTGGCTAGGCCTGGCCTGTTGCAACACCACCTACAGTATTTATTTTTACTTTTATGATTTACTTATATTATCATTGCAGAACAACAACACAGAGGGTCTTACTTTGAGAAAAAGAACATTTAAGATCACGATTTTGAAGAAAAGATCATCAACCAGGCAGAAACGGATAACCAAAGGACTCAACTCTTTGGTGACTCCTACCTACATATTTTGTGGACCTCCTCACAGCACTAGAAACCAAACATCAAGTCTATATACCTATGAGACACTCCAAAGGAATCCCTGTGGTGAAAGGAGTGTGCCTCACTCAGACTTATAATAAGTAGCATTCACTCCCTTAGTTACATTGTCAACTATCTGTCTGAGATTCTAGCACCACATGTTGGAGACTTCCACAGAGTTTTCTAGGACTTCGTCAAAAATGCCAAGGGAGATAATGCTGTACCCAGATGAGACAATACTGTGTTATAACATTGCATCCCTTTTCAAAAAGCTATCTTCAAAAGCTATAGACATTACCTGAAAACAAGACCTAGAGGACACTATTAAAAAACAACAACAATTACCTCAGCCTAGCTACCACATACTTTTCAGTACAATAAAAGATTCTCCAGCCAGAAACAATGGTGTGCAATGGGAACACCTGTATCTTCTATCAAAACAATGTCATGGTTTTTGGTAGTGTGACTCTGTGATGTTGAGTAGCCCATGTAAGATAACCATAGCCACATGAGTATTTGTTTAAAGGAACATTACAATCTATCATGGATACTTTTTGTGCATGCCATTCGTACAAGTAAGTAGTTGGACATCTTCTTTTCAGTTCACCACTTGTTTTGTCCACCACCATTTAGATTACGAGAACTGTTGAATAGCAGTGCTACATAGGGGTTTTCAGGGTTGCCTGATATGTTTGTTCAGAGAGATAATGAAAGGGTTTGAGTTGTTGTCACATCAGTCTTGGTGATTTTTGCTTTTATATAGCCTATTGTTTGGGCTGTGTGGCGCTTTGGCCCAGAGGCAATGTCTCTGTCATTGGTGTTGAACCCCAGGGTGCACCTCCTGGGCAAGTTCGAATCCCGGTGAGGGAGGTTGGTTCTTTCCAGTGGACTCACCACCTGCAGGAAGGTTTGGGGGGGTTGGTACGGTGCAATGTGATTTGGGTGCTGACTGCTGCCCCTGCGACCCGGTAACGGATAAGCGGCTGAAAATGGATGGATGGATGGATGTTTGGGCTGTTGCTTCGTGATGAGCTCAATAGATGGAAGTCCACTGCCGCTTTTTTGACATACTTACCTTTCAAGTCGAAGGGAAGGACCACATGATGGAAGAAAGGAATGCAGAAAAGAAGTGGAGTCGGAAAAGTAGAAGTATTAGATGATACGTAGCAAAGAAAGGAAGGATGGATTAAAGAAATTATGGTAGGTACAGTAGGAAAGAGGAAATGCAGTAGAAAACAAATTTCAACAAATCTGAAAGAAGAAAAAAGAGAAAGAAAGAGAAAGGAATGATTGAGAAGAAATGATTGCTTTGTTATTAATCGACACAGTTTGTGTAATGGGAGCTGATTCTGTGTTTCTGACAGATTCATGTCCAAGAAGTACAGAAAGAAGGACCTCAGAGAAAACTACTGCCGAAACCCAGACAACTCCACTGGTGGCCCATGGTGTTTTACCACTGACCCTCGACCTCATCTTAGACACCAGGAGTGTGGCATACCACAGTGCTCACAAGGTAGGTCATACACACTTTTGTTAGGGCCACCATAATATTCCTGTTCTGTTTAACTTGCATGCATCTGAATTTGGCTTAACGTAGCTGTAATATTGACAAGTTAAAATTAATGCTTTAAATATATTTTACAGTTTTTTTTTTGTTTTACAAACAGCTGTATTCCATTCAGCAGAGACCAGATATATGGAATTGGTTTGTCTTTTTATGTATGTATATATATATATATATACGCATACGTATATATATATATGTATCAGTGGAACCTCGGTTTTCGAAAACATAATTAGTTCCTGAAGGCTGTTTGTGCACTAAAACGTTTGAAAACTGAAACAATTTTCCCCATAGGAATCAATGTAACATGAATTAATCTGTTCCTCGACCCCGGATGACTGATTATTCAAATTTTTTCAACAGTATTTTTTGTACAAGTTCATACACAAAATGTTAAAAAAAATGATAAGAATAAAAATATTAACTTCCAAGAGTAGTACTAGATGAATATGATAATTGTCATGTTGATTTATCTTCATTTAAATGCCTTAAAAGGTCTTTGTTTGCCAAAATCATCCACTTTGGAAAGTGCCTCACCAACTGCAGTTTGAGTCAGATATTAGTTGCAAGTTAAGGAGTTACACACACAACCTTGGAATAAGCTCCATTGGCTTAAATATTGCTCTCTACAGCTGTGTGGGTGCCTGTTTTTATTTATTTTCCTTAGCCAGCTGCAGCCATTACTGTCTGACTGTCTGTCTGTCTGTCTGTCTATCTGTCTGTCTATCTATCTATCTATCTATCTATCTATCTATCTATCTATCTATCTATCTATCTATCTATCTATCTATCTATCTATCTATCTGTCTGTCTGTCTGTCTGTCTGTCTGTCTGTCTGTCTGTCTGTCTGTCTGTCTGTCTGTCTATCTATCTATCTATCTATCTATCTATCTATCTACCTATCTATCTATCTATCTATCTATCTATCTATCAATCTATCTATCTACTATTTGGAATCATACTCTCCGCATCATAAATTATGCACCACTGGGTTTCCATAAATCGTATAACACAAAATCCTTTATTCGAATTTGAAAATTGGTTTCGTCTGGAAGAAAAGGGTTGAAGGGTTTTGTTCCCTAAATCAGCTGGTCCTAGTTTAAAACACACACTGACATGAGAAAAAGAACAAACACGAGGCACTCATTTGCACACTTACATGCTCACAGTTGTACTTGCTCTGTCTTGACAGCGATGGACTCAAAAACATCTGTTTCTCATTTTGATGAACTCTGTTGTTTACATTAGACACTTTTTATTGCTCACCATGCAACTAATCATGCCTTTTCTAACTTAGTGAAAACCTTTATTGACATGGCCATTTATATTCAGTTCTATAAATCAGGCCTTTGTAAAAATGCCTAGACCTCACAGGGTCTATCCATAATTTATGAAGGTTTTATTGCAAAGTTTTGTGACCAAAGAAAGTTTTATCATTTGTTGTCCAAAAGTATAGTTTTGCCATGACTATTTTACTTAACTTGTTATGATTATAAAAGGTAAAAAGTAAACGCCCTAAAAGTGAATTGATTGTTTCAAAACTGCTTGTGTGTGTGTGTCGGTCTTAGTGGAGTGTGTAAACTGTAATGGAGAAGATTACAGAGGGCCCATGGACCACACAGAGACTGGAAAAGAATGCCAGCGCTGGGACCTGGATGAACCACATGTACACCCGTACCACCCTAAAAGGTAACACTCTGATGACTGAGACATTATATTCAGAAGGGTTACATCCTGATTTTATTAATGCAGTAAGAAAATGGTAATTTACTTTACAGACTACCACTAAAGTTGTTTTTTTTTTCTTTTTGGAGTTACTGTTGTGCTTTTATTAGAAATCCTTTTGTAAGTTAATGATTATGTTAATTTATTATTGAAAACTGTTGCTTAAAGGGCTTCAGGTTCGAGTCCACCAGCTGCCAAATTATCACTGAGGTCTGAGCATGGCACCGTCCCTCAAAGCTGCCCACTGTTCACTTTGGTGATGGGTTAAAAGCAGAGGTCACATTTCATTGTGTGCAGTGGTGTGCTATGTCACAATGACATGTAGTTAACTTTCCTTTCCTTTCTTCTTAAATGGACAGACATAAAGTGCCTTTTTGATCCTGTAATTGTTAGTCAGGTGGCAGTTATTTTTGACAAGATGGCAGATATAGAAATAGAAGATAGAAGTTGGTGCTACAACGTGCAAATAAATGTTTTCCTAATCCAATACTAAAGTAAAGATTTTAACAGGAGAAGAAAAATGGAAGAAATGGAAATGCACTTTTAGACACTCTCCTCACACAGTAAGATCATGCTACATTTGCTACACCAGACTTAAACATTTCCTGGCATCCTACTTATTTTGTGGACATCACTGAGGTGTGGTGTACACAGAAACAAATGGCTGCAGTCCTTATCTACTCTCTACTCTCTTGATGTGTGCATATTTCATCACATCTTTGTGTATATAATCCACGTCGTGTCATTCTCACATGCCATTTCTTCCTGTACACCAGTAATTCCCCTAGTGTGTATTTAGTGCGTTTTTTTCCCCTAATTAACTCAACTTGTAGTCAAAGTGATGGTGTGCAAACTGAGCAATGTCAGGAACCTATATAGCAAATTTAAAAAAAAATCCTCTAATAAATGGATTTCTCTTGCAAACTTCAAAGCAAAGTGAAGGTTTTCACTGTTGTACTTTTATCTCTTCAACATACTCAACACTTTATAAAGATACCCGGACAAGGGCCTGGATGATAACTACTGTAGAAATCCAGATGGACGCCAAAAACCCTGGTGTTTCACCACAGACCCAAACACATCCTGGGAGTACTGCAACATCAAACTGTGCGGTGAGCTTATTTGTTTGTGTGTATTATATTGTCTGTGTGCAGTGGGCGACGATGTGTATGTGAAGTTATTCCATGTACAAGTTTGCAATAGGTCATTTCTGTACAACCTGTACAGAAAGGCAAAGTTGATTGCACCAGAAGTAACAGCTTCCTGCTGCTCTCAGGGAGACATGCACACAAAGACAAGCATGCACAAACACAAACACCCAAGCACTTTTTTACACAAATATTGGGGCCACTTTACATAGACATAATGCATTCCCTTCCCCCTTAATTTTTGCCTTTGCATTTTTGTTATGCCTTATAAAAATTGTATTTTTCAGAAAATGTCAGAACAAGTATAGTTACACAATGAAGACACAAACACACACACACACAAACCTCCCCTCTTATGTTGTTATGGTTTCTTTAATTGCCAGAGTGTTTATTTTTCCCTCAAACCACTAAGTTGTTGTTTATTGTTCTTTGCCGACTCTTATGTGGGGGTCAAAACCGGGCACTGAAATGGCTCTGTTGTCTGTGACAGAAGCCTTAAAAGAAGCCAGAGCGGCTATCAAGTCCTCTTCACTCATTTTGCTCAACTTCATCAGCAGCATTTGACACAGTTTTTTACCTTGTCCCATTGTCCATACTCTCAGACACGGGTATTCTGGCAGTGCACACTCCTGGTTTAAATCTTACCTCACTGGTCGGTCGCAAGGCTCAGTGCGTGAATGTGTATCACTTTGATGGGCTAAATCATCTGATCACATGGCTTCTCTAATCACTGCTATTTGTCAGCTCACCAACCAGTTCCCTTGCGAATTTTTAACATTTTACATCAGATTATTGGAACATATCTGTCTTACAAACTTTATGGGACATGGTGATGTACCACACTGTAGGTCAAGGATGTTGTAAACCGAGGACCCCTTGTACAAGAATGGTAAGACAATACAAGATATGCATACATATATTACAGATTTTACAGACAGAACGGTGATGACAATCCAAAGCTTAACCCCCACAAGGGAAACTGACCAGATGTCCCCCTCTTATCCCAACAGATAGATAGAGTTAACCCTGAAAATCAATTAGTAGGTAATGTGAAAATAGGTTGACAATGTGACCATGAGGCAATGCCAGTGAAAACTGTTAACTGACTAACAAAAAAAAAACATCAATTAGTGGTAGATATAGTATTTTTTTATTATTTTTTTATTTATAACTTAAAATAAATTAAAAGGTAGACATTGAGGAACTTTGTCACTTACGTCTGGCTGTTGCCCCCTGTCATACCATTTAATATTGTTCACCAAATGTTTTTTTTTTCCTTCTAGATGTTTCAAAAGTATTACAAAATATTTGTCCCATTTGGTGCCTCTGATAAATGTTGGTGTGTTCATGACATAAGGCTAAATGTTATTCATTTAGCTTGCCAAAAATCTTATGGTCTGTTAGACACCTGAATGAATTTGTTGAAATAGTGATCCACGGGCATACAAAAATGCAGTGAGTTGGCCAAAATTATTATTATCTCTCTTTCTTTCTCTCTCTCTCTCTCTCTCTTTCTCTCTATCTATCTCTCACTGTATCTTTTACAAATTAGGATCTAAAGAATTGAAAAGAAATTAAAAGCACTTGAAAATGAAAAAACTTGAAATAAGCCAAAGCTAGCTACCTTCTCTTTGTTCAGATTCAGGGAGAAAGCAATGCAAGCATAATTGTTCGGAAGGACGTTAAGTTTAACAGGGCAGTGTCGTTGGTGCTAGCCTCTACACTTGAACAGTCTGTTTGCCTGCTAAAATCATCAACGGTCCTGGCTGTGTTCTTACTTGATGGCACTCCTCCATGTGGACCCAATGATTTACTCACCCACCTCCCCCTGCATTTTTCCTTTCTAAACTCCATCCCCTATCCGCTGCACTCTCTATTTCCATCTCTCACACATGAGAGTGTTGGGAATGGCCCATGTTTATAAGTCAATTATGCTATATCAAAACAAAGCATAGAAAATAGTTGTAGTGTTAGTCTACGCGCTAATGTTTTGTTCAGTGTGTCACAACTGTGCATATTTATTTTTAAATAAACAGCACGTGAAGTTTGGGAAATTTCTAATGTTGTTTTTGTAACACAAATATAACAGTGTTTCTGTAACGAACAGTGAAGCAAATAAAATAACTTCCTCTTGTTTTTCACAATAGCCTCATCATCCTTAAGGTCTGAGTACATAATTTTAGGAGTCACTGAGGAAAACAGGTGGGAAAGACATTGAGGCTGATTAGCCAGTTAACACATTACATGCCATGTCACACTCAGCCCTATTTTCCCTATGGCGTATTTTATTTAAGGATGACAGCAGACTTATTATAAACACATAGAGTAGTTGGAACTGTCATGTTAACACTATGAGGTGATGCATGATGCTTGTTTATTGTCTTTTCCAGTTTGTTTAAGTTCGAACCTTAGAAACAACTTGCTGGTAACATTTTTCAGAGAGAAATCATTCAGTTAGAGGCCAAATGGGAACGTTTAAAAAACAATGTAGAAACTACACCCCAATAGAAAACTGTGTTGCATGCCATACATGTTTTTTTAGCATCTAAAATATAGCTTTATATCATTAGTTTGAGAAATTACTCTCTCTCTTTTTTTACTCTAGATAAATTTACTTAAAGAAAACAGCAATAAATAGATATACCAGGGTCCTTCCTGACATGTTAAAAAAGGTTACTAGATGAGGTGTAAAGAACTACGTACAGTATGTGTCTTCAGGACTATGGCCCATCTCCATGTGTTTTATTAAATGTCTTGTATCTTAACAGATAAAGTCACACAGTAAGCCTTGCTCCAGTCTTTGTCCGTGATGTGAAAATAGTTCCAAACTACTGGCATTGTTGATCTACTTCAGTAAACTACCCATGAAAGCAGTTAGACATTGAACTCCATTCGGAAAACAAAACACTGACTGACCGGTGCACAGCTGGTTTTGATCTGAAGAGAGTCTTGGTTTTCTGGCAGCAGGCTGTTCTGAGATCCTGTGTTTTTGCCTATCCCTTGAAAGATTTCAATAAAAAAAAAGCATTGCAGTAATTACATTTTTTTAATTATATTTTTCAAATTAATCGTTGTATGTGTATAATATAATATAACATAAACATAAAATAGTCTTCCCACACATCCTACCTGGAAAACCTGGAAAATGATTTTCCAGTCATGTAAAACATGGATGTTATCATGGTTGTAATCCTGGAAAAAAAATTTTCCTTCCCTCTGCCTTGTGAGTGAATGTAAACAGTTACCTTATCTTCTAGGCAACATTAACCCTTTCATGCATGACGGTCACTACAGTGGACAGCTATTAAAATGTCATTTTCTATGATAAGAATAGATTTTGATGGCAGTGTTGCATATAAGCCTCTACAGTGGATTCTCAGGCGTCCACTGTAGAGGCTTATATGCAACACTGCCATCAAAACCTATTCTGTGACCGTCATGCATGAAAGGGTTATGGTCCAGCGCTTCTCTGCTTCTAGCCAGCGCAGCGCCCCATGTGCTGCTACCAGCCAAATTTTCATTTCCACAAAGAAAAGTTCTTCCAAACCAGTTGCTAGATTTATCCATTAAGGATTTAGGGCCTCAAAGGCAAAGCTAGCAACTGTGAGTTGGAAAGTGTCGCTAGTAATTATCCACGAGTTAAGTTGGTCCACAAGTAACTTTCTTTGTCGTGCTAATGAAGTGCTACACTTTTATCTGTGGCTGTGTTTTCATTAATATATGATATATTTCATATATAAATTATAGCCTCGGACTGCACATCAAATGTGTTACAGCTACTGTACAGACAAAAACACCTGCAAAGACTCATAGGGGACAAGGGAACAAATTAAAGTAGGACGTGATAGCTTGTCTCTGTAGTGGCTGGAAATTTTATAATTTTGAGGGGAAGAGTGGGAAGCCTGATATAATGAGATTTTTTGTGTATGCATTTAAAAACTTTGGTTTTATTCGAATTGAGAAATATGAGAAGCACTATAGTCATATAAGTGATATTTTTGGATACTTCTCGATTTGTAAAATGACCAGAAACAAGATCAGGTAACAGACTTGGTCTTGACTCAAGTCTAGGCTTGTTACATCCTGCTTAGCATCCTGCTAAATGTACAATTAAATGATTAAAATAAATACAGTTTTACTTCAACCTCAACTTTTAAACACTCTTGTGCAGATTTTGTATAATTTTGTATAATTTATGATTAACCAGTATAACTGTGTTGTTTAGCAGAAGTACCTGTAACTCTAATGTGATTAAAAAAAGCATGCAACAGTTAATAATATATTTTAAAATGTAAAAGTTAGAATTTGTACCTATGTTTTCGAAAGGCTTCTTTCAACACACTTCAGAAGAGATCAGCGGCACTCACTGGTGTGTTCAACCCAGGTTATGTATCAGCTTGGCTCCATACTTGTGTAAAGTTTCTTATCTGCTTCTCCTCCCCTTTATCCCCTCCAAACACCACAGGTGCACGCTGAATCTGGTTCTGCTGGAAATTTCTCTCAGTTGGATTTTTTTTTCTCCCCACCACACCAAAGTGCTTGCATAGTATGATTCGGGCAGGGGTGATTTAATGGTTAAGGAAGCAGACTTGGCTTTCAGGTTTAAGTCCACCAGCTGCCAAGTTACCAGTGAGGTGCTCTGAGCATATTACTGTCCCCACACATTGCTCCCCGGGCGCTTAATGCTGCCTACTGTTAATTTTGGTGATGGGTTAAAAGCAGAGGTAACATTTTGTTGTGTGCAGTGATGTGCTGTTTACTTTCCTTTTCCTTTGTGACTTTTCTATAATAATTGTAATAATTTTCCTTCACTTTCTCTTGCTGATATGATATAATATAATATTGACTCTGTATACATCCCTCCATAATCTCCCTTACAAGGTTTGTTGGGGGAAGATCATTTTAATCTGAATGTTAAAAGTGTAAAGTCCAGGAAACAAGTGAATTTATGCTATAAAATGAAAATTGAATCAACTCTAGTCCAGATACAACTGATAAGTGATGGAGCCTTACTACATCCTCTAAATACTCATCCAATCGGTGCAGGTCATAGGTGACCATATTAACCTAACTTGCCTGTACCTATGAAGGCAGGTTAGAGATCGCAATGGACAAATATGTTCTTTTTTGGCATGCTTTGTCTTCTTTTTCAATAACCCAAAGGAAACATATGAGGTTTGCAGCTTTTGCATTAGTAGTGAGATTTTTTTAAATATTTTACTAATGTACAGTTTTGTGTCTTTTTTATCTCCAGAAACACCTTCTAAAAGCATTATTCCTGAAACTACTTCATGTTTTGAGGGCAAAGGGCAAGGTTATAGGGGGACAATGGACATGACGCCCACTGGCCTCACCTGCCAACGCTGGGACACTCAGTATCCTCATAACCACACATTCATTCCTGAAGCGTACCCCTGCAAGTAAGACACTTACTGTGTATCTATGAGACTGCTGTACATGCTGTCTCTTATCTGCATTCATGTTCATCTTCATATAATCAAATGACTTTTTTTGCGTTTTCCAGGGACCTGAAGGAAAACTACTGTCGAAATCCTGATGGCCAGGATTCCCCTTGGTGCTTTACCATGGACCCAAGAGTCCGCATTATGTTCTGTACAAACATTCCACAATGTAGTTCTCAAATCAAAAATGCCAATGGTAAGAAACATTATCTTTTACCCAAAAAAAGCACAATGAATTTTCTCTGTCACAAAACAGAAATATTGGGAATTTATAAACTAAGTTTGAGTCCCCTGTAACTGTAGTGGCTGGTTACCACAACAGCCTGATAAAAAAACAAAAAAAAACCTAGCCCTCTTGGACGTGGGAAAGACTCACCCCAGTCCCATTGGGCAGAGAACTACTCACTTGAGCCAAAGATCTGACCGTGGCTAAGTTGACACGGTCAGTTTTGTTGGATAATAAACCCTCCAATGGATTGTTTTAATATACACTCTTGGGATCTCCACAATAATTTAATAAATATATAATATCGGATCATTAATAGGTAGTGGTAAAAACTCTGTTTTACCAAATTGTACACTAAAGTTCAATCTAATTTAATATCTAGTCTAATAGTCTATAATCTATTGGACTTCTAACATAATTTATTATAACTACTGTTGAACAAAGTTGATGGAGACCAGACGTTTGGAGTGCAATTAGAACTGCTTTACAAAATACAGTGTTGACATAGTTTTGCTACATTCTGCAAAACCCTAATGACATAGTAGAATAATTACTGACTTGAGGTTCTGTTAAATTCAGTTCCTAAATGTAATCATACAAAGCGGTTTATGCTATTAAATTGGACTAAAACAATTTTTCAGTAGAGTTACAGGTTAAAAAAAAAAACTCCACAGACTTATTTCAGTTACATTTTTTGCTCTAATCCAGACTGTTATGAAGGCTTTGGGGAAAGTTACCAAGGACAGCAGTCAAAAACAAGGTCAAACCTCCAGTGTGCTCTTTGGACACATCACAGCAACAGGTTGGTCCCCTGAATCTATACATTGTAATAATGCCTCAAATTCTTTTAAAAAGAAATCACAGAACCCACAGTATATAGTAGTTTTTGTTTTTTTAGGTGACATCATTTTTATAAATTGGGCTTCTGTTTATGAGAAGAAAATAAAACTGACTGCAATCATTTTCCTGCTTTGTGTTCAGCTACTACATAACTCTGCTTTCAAGTTCATTTTATTTAAAAAAAAAAAAAAAAGAAGAATTATTGGCACAAATACTAAATTGAATCAACAACCCTAGTCTACATGATGATGCACTTAAGGAGGAATATGAAGATTTTGACCCAACATTTATAAATAGTAAATAATCAGAGATAAATAAAAGGGTTTTTATAGTTTTTGTATTTATAACATGTCAGTTTAATATTCTTGGATGTTTGACCAGAGGTGAGACAGGCATGGAGGAAAACTACTGTAGAAATCCTGACAGTGACAAACATGGCCCTTGGTGTTATACCAACAACTCAGCCATATCCTGGGACTACTGCTCTGTAAAGCCATGTAAGTGTGTACATATGTGTGTGTGAGTATCAGCTCAATGCGTTACATAAATGCACCCATGTTTGTCTCCTCAGGTGATCCATCACAGCATATATTTCCACCTGGTGAGTGTCTTTTTCTGTCTGTTGTGCTGTCTTCAAATCTGATGTGAAGTGTTCATTCATCAGGCAATTAAAACACATGAAATCATGACACGTGATGTATCGATAACGCATGTTATGTTTTTTATTTGTAGTTTTATGGTCTTTAAATAGCCTGCTTGGGGGACATCCTTATGCTAACACACAACACATAGATAGATAGATAGATAGGTAGATAGATAGATAGATTAGATCGATAGATAGATTAGATAGATAGATTAGATCGATAGATAGATAGATAGATAGGTATGGATAGATAGATAGATAGGTAGATAGATAGATAGATTGATAGATAGATAGATAGGTAGATAGATAGATAGATGATAGATGGGGTTAGATAGATGGATAGATAGATTAGATTAGATTAGATAGATAGATTAGATTAGATTAGATAGATCGATCGATAGATAAGAATAGATAGATAGATAGATGGTTGATAGGTATGGTTAGATAGATAGATAGATTGATAGATAGATAGATAGGTATGGATAGATAGATAGATAGGTAGATAGATTAGATTAGATAGATAGATCGATAGATAGATAGATAGGTAGATAGATTAGATTAGATAGATCGATCGATCGATCGATCTATCTAATCTAATCTAATCTATCTACCTATCTATCTATCTATCGATCTATCGATCTATCTATCTAGCTATCTGTCTATCTATCTATCTATCGATCTATCGATCGATCGATCGATCTATCTAATCTAATCTATCGATCTATCTATCTAGCTATCTGTCTATCTATCTATCTATTTAATCTAATCTATCTATCCATCTATCTAACCCCATCTATCATCTATCTATCTATCTATTCTTATCTATCGATCGATCTATCTATCTAATCTAATCTATCTATCTAATCTATCTATCGATCTATCGATCTATCGATCTATCTATCTAATCTATCTATCTAATCTAATCTATCTATCTAATCTATCTATCTAATCTATCTATCGATCTATCGATCTATCGATCGATCGATCGATCTATCTATCTAATCTATCTATCGATCTAATCTATCTATCTAATCTATCTATCGATCTATCGATCGATCGATCGATAGATCGATAGATCGATAGATCGATAGATAGATAGATAGGTATGGATAGATAGATAGATAGGTATGGATAGATAGATAGATAGGTAGATAGATAGATAGATGGTTGATAGGTATGGTTAGATAGATAGATAGATTGATAGATAGATAGATAGGTAGATAGATAGATAGATTAGATCGATAGATAGATTAGATAGATAGATCGATAGATTAGATTAGATAGATCGATCGATCGATCGATCTATCTATCTATCTATCGATCTATCGATCTATCGATCGATCGATCGATAGATCGATAGATAGATAGATAGGTAGATAGATAGATAGATTAGATAGATAGATTAGATAGATAGATAGACAGATAGCTAGATAGATAGATCGATAGATAGATAGATAGGTATGGATAGATAGATAGATAGGTAGATAGATTAGATTAGATTAGATAGATCGATCGATAGATAAGAATAGATAGATAGATAGATGATAGATGGGGTTAGATAGATGGATAGATAGATTAGATTAGATAGATAGATTAGATCGATAGATAGATTAGATAGATAGATAGATAGACATAATTTATTCTTGATAATAAAATACATTATAAAATAGATAGATAACCATTTTAGAAAAACAGCAGACATTAGAAAATGACTATATAAAGCTTTATTAACTGTAGATATGTGTAGCTCCCATTGACAGTATGGATAAATAGCATAAAATGTATGAGTAATCAGGATAATAAATATATACATTTGTACTATATTGATCCCATATTTGGGAAATTGTTGTGTTAGCAGCAGATTAACAGGCTGCCCCTAGCGAGCACCAATTATGTGGTTCCTCTGGGAATCGAACCCAGGACCCTCTGCTCTTTGCTTCCAAGGGAGGCATGCTAACCGCTAAAAATATGAAGGACGTGCAGTATAAGACACAGGGTACTCATCATGTGAATGAGAGTTCGTTACAAACGTGTGTGTGATAAGAGAGAGAAAGAGAGTGTGTGAATAGAAAAATAAAAGTCAGACAAATATAGATAGATGCGATTGTTTCTGCTTTCAGGTGAACTGTCTTCTGTGGGTTGTTTTGTCCATAAAAGTACCAGAATTGTGGGAGGAAGTCCAGTGAGCATATCAGAAGGCAGCTGGATGGTCAGCATACAAAAGGGGTACAGTGCAGTACATTGACATCACTGCAAATCTGATTAATTTAGGTTACCTTGGTCACACAGGCTTTTGTCCTTTGGTATTTTGTCCTTTTCCCAGGTCAGTACACTGGTGTGGTGGTTCACTTATACGAGAGGAATGGGTGCTAACCGACAGTCAGTGCTTCTCCTCATGGTAATTTGTCGTCAGTTTTATCATTTGTAAGCTACTAGTTTATTAACAAAAGGGTAGTGAAACGATCCTAGGCAAAAAGTGCAATGAATGAACAGAAAAATGAACAAGAAATCAGTATTTGGGCTGACCTTCATTTGCCTTCATTGCCTTCTGAATCATGGCAGTCATTCAGCAAGGGTTGGGCAGCACCTGGAGGGTTATATTTATATTAATGGTCAATATAGTGTCAAACAACTCAATCTCCAATTTTCATGTCAGCTGAAAAAAAAGAAAATGTAACCCATCAACTCATTCCTGGTAAGCTTGGTAATTTAGACTCAAACCTATGATCCTCTAAACACTGCCTCAAAATTCACTTAATGACTGGGTTGGAATATATATCCGTAATTGATGATCATTAACATTTTCTTGGTACAATTGGTTGGTTGGTCACCTGACCAAAACCCCTGATTAACTAATAGAAATAAACTATTTTGGAAGAATTTCAACTTTATACATTTTTTTCCACACCTGCCTGAAACCTTTGCAGCAATAAATGTTATAAAATGCAGTGTTTTATATGACACCCCACTAGTGTTCCAGACCTCAGCGACTACCGGGTGTGGCTGGGAGTCTCTAATATAAGAGAGGGAGGTTCTGAGTGGTCCAACAGACAAGAAGTCAGCATTGCTCATGTTATTTGTGGCCCGGATGGCTCAAGTTTAGCCCTAATAAGACTTTCAAAGTAAGTGTCTGCACAACAAATTTGAAAGAAAAATATACATAAAAGTTCATTTGTGTGAAAAAAAAAAAAATACATAAAAGTTCATTTGTGTTTATGTGATATGTTGATGATTCAGTCCATGTGCTCTGTTTAATAAATATTTTTAGGCCTGCACTTCCTTTAGACAATGTCCGTACGATACAGCTACCTGTGGCTGGCTGCTCCATACCAGAAGGAACAACATGTAACATGTATGGATGGGGTGAAACCAAAGGTACTGAAGCTCATCATATATTAATTCACTTCAAGAGATTTCTCCGGGGACCTAATTTTAAATAGACACATTCAATTCTGACTTGTTTTTCAGGTACTGGATATGATGGCATCCTTAAGACAGTTAACCTACCAATTGTTAATAATGACAGGTGCAGAGAGATGCACAGAGGGTCTTTCCACATTACCAACAACAAGATATGTGCAGGGGGGAGAAGGAATGAGGGAGTGTGTGAAGTAAGTGTTATTTGGAAATTATATTTATATATATACTTTTTAAAAATGCAGTATTTTTACATTTAAAGAAAAGCACATTCTATCTGTGGAGTTCTATCGATTGTAGTCATAAAGTGTTTGTAAACAATAGGAGGTCTTGAGACATAAAGAAAATGCAAAAAGCCTTGGCAAATGTCTGGACTTTTCATGGCTGTTTCCTAAAAAAAAAGAAATTAAAAAAATAATAAAAAATAATAAGAACAAATAAAATGTTTTTAATTTTTTATTTTATTGTTTTGTTTTGTTTGTTTGTTTCAGAGGGATTATGGTGGTCCTCTCGTATGTCAAGATGGAGAGATCAAGGTCATAGTTGGAGTGAGCATCCATGGCCGAGGTTGTGCACGGGCAAACCAGCCGGCCATCTTTATAAACATCCCTTTCTACACACAGTGGATACATAAAGTTTTCAAACACTATCCCAGCCCTGAAGGTGTTTAGCCAGGGTAAAATAATCATGTTTGTTTAAATCCTACAGTAAAAAAAAAAAAAGATATACCTGTTTTCCAAAGTTGTTATAGTTATGAAAGTGAATTGGTATCATCAACATAGAGAGGAACAATTTACAGCAGTGCCCACAATGATCCTGTAAATAGTCAGTGCCCATTATGGAAGAGTTAGCGAGATTATGGAACATTTTACAGAAGAATGGATGAACTAATGACGCCTCCATTAGTAAGACCTGAACATAGACATAAAGAAACACAGCAATTGTATTTATGTATTATCATTTTTTTCTTTGTTCCTTCAGTCCTGGGAATGATATGTATGCATGTGAATATTGTCAATTCCTGACATTACTTGAATGTTGTAAATTACTGCAAAAGTGCAGTGTTTCAGCAGCTTTACCTGTAGAATTGACCACTGGGTCGTTGAGAAAACAACCCAGTGGCAGGACAACATAATATGCAAGCTAGGGAAAATGCGTACGTGAGGTAACGTTGCTGTCACTGTACATAGTGTTTCTGAGTGTATCTGTGACACTCATAAGGTGATCTGGGTCTTATAGATCCATTACATGAGAAAATTAATTTTATTGTAGGAACAGTTTTATCACATGTCGCATTATCCTAACAATATTGCAACACCAAAGTAAACTAAATCTCCAGTATTGTAATATTAAGGGTTCGGTATTCACCAAATACATATACTTTATAGAGAAAGAATGTAGTTTTGTTCAGTTATTTTTGCTACATTTTAGAAGCTTTACTTCCTAGAATACCCTTCACTGAATAACCCATTGAATCAGATCTGCTGGTAAGATCCAAGAAGAAGCCAAACCTGCTGTTGACAGGGTTAGCTTAACATAGCTTTTGGAAAGACTGGCTCTCTAAATAAAAAAAATCCAGGAAGAAGTATCTGGTAGCACCTAGCTTTCATGCCATTAAATGCTACAGTGTGCACAATGCTCATACGCCACTAATCAGTGGTATACTTTGCATTTCTGACTTAGGCCTTTGAACAAATCAACATCCTATAAGTTTCATTATATCTAGTCGAAAAGCATCAATACAAATTTTAAAATCTATCCACCTTTCTTTTCTTTAGATTAGATCAGTTCAATTATTCGGTTGTACAGATTATCCGTGAGTTGCATTTCTAACAAGTGCTTTGTATATCTCCACCCATGCTAATAATAACAACAGTTCAGTCTTTCCTGTTTTCCTGTATTTATGGTCATATATTTTAGTTCACTTAATGACAATGTCCACCAGACAGAAGCAGTTTGCTAGATTCAAGACGGTGTGATCTTTGACTATCCAATCAAATCAACAAAAATCACAAATGCCTGCTAGAAACAAACTCCTTGCCATACATTTTATGCTCCACATAAAAGCGCCACACTACTGATCCTGAAGGCCTTACAGCAGATTTCTTTCACCCTGACAGGCTGGAGGCTGAAATATGATTGAATGAAAAAAAAAAAAAAATACAGCATTCACAACTGGAAGTGGCGCAACCAAGAAAAGCTGAGAATGAGAATAAATGATGAGAACAGACTAGTCTGTATTATTTTATAAATATTCCTGATAAATATATTTTAAAAAAATAAATCACTGATTCTGATATTGGTGAAGTCAGCAGAGTGCGTTGTTGGCCTGAACAGTACACCACTGCCACTAACACTTTGTGCTAGTGTGTTGCTAGAACACCACTAATGCAATAGTGTGCCAATAATGGTCAATACAAGTCAAGTCTTTGTAATATTCCGTTGACATTCAGTAGTTTCACTTAATATGTAACCTATTTTTTTTTTGGACATGACTTGACGGAGTTAGTTACCTAACACAATGCAACCAGCATTTGTAAATAATGGAACTGGACTTTCGAATGGGTACTTAGCACCACCTATTGGCCAGTTTAGGAAACCCACAATTTTAAATGAACAAAACTACAAACTCCCTTTTTAGGAATATTTACTGATGTATTTTATTAAGTAAAGTGTATTTTTAGACTTTAAACTAAAACTCTTTTAGTTAAAAAAAGGGGGGGGGGCAAAATGTGCTGTTCTTAAGAACAAAGAAGAACAGCATCCTCTCTTGTGGGAAAAGATGTGTAGTTAGGGGGTCAGGCTTGGGAAGTGTTAAGAAGGAGGAAATTCCCTCTGTAGAAAGTTACCTCAAGCAAACTTGTCGGTTATGGACTTTGTGTCCCAGAGTGCACACTTCCACCCCACGTAGATGAAGGAATGCAAGACTCGTCAGCCGGTATAGGATTTTAAAACCAATTAAAAAATGTCCATCTGAATGCACAGGTTCTCTTTTCACCACTTTGTATTTGACTTTTTAATCACAGTGCTGCATTTGTCACATCTTGCAATGTCGCTGAACAATTGCATGTTAATGCCTGCTGTGTAGTCGAAGCTGTTCACCAAAAGATGGCACCAAAATAGCACACCCATCTCCTGAAATCGACATCCTCTCTGTATACACTTACACACTTAGAGTAAAAAATTGGAAGAAGGCACTCAGACTAAAACTCTAAATCTATTGAGTTATATATATATATATAAATATAACAGGGCAAGCAAAAAAAAAAAAAGAAGCAGTATATTTTTTTTGCTGATCAGCACATGCACAATGTCTGCTGACACAACACACACACACACAACTATATATTTCAGGAGCACTGTTAAGGTTCTGAAGCAGCTTTAGACTCCCGGCTATGAGGCATACCTTTGGGACACAATGTCAGGAAGGACAATGAAGTAAATATGATGGTAAACACTGCTGACTGCTGCTGTGAATAAAACTAAAGCTAATTATGTTTATGTCACCAAAATAATATTGGAATATCTAGCAAACTCAATTTTATGAAAGACTTTGAAAACATTTGGGTCTAAAAGGTGAAAATTGTACAAGTATACATTAGAGTTTTTTTCCTACTGCAGTATGGTTACTTGATTGTTTGTTCAGATACTGCCATTTGAATCTTCCAATGCTCCTCTGGGATCAAACCTCAGACCCCCATACATTATGCTTATGGGTAAATAGGATATTGGGATTTTGGAAAAATGCAAAAAAAAGCGATATTGCAATAAAAGTTATAGAAACACCTTACAGGTTAAATGAAAGAAGTGAAGTTATAGTTGAGGTTGGGAAATGTGAGTGTTGACTTTTTATCTGACGAGTCTTGTGGAAGACAGGTCACTTCGAACTTAAATACCGTATTTTCCAGACTATAAAAATATATAATGAAGAAGAATAACATACATATATAAGTTGATCCGGCGTATATGTCGCAAAGTAGGGTAACTGTTTTCGTTCTATGAATACGTACCCGAAGGCTGATAGGTTAAAATGTTTATTCAAGACTAAAAGTAAGGGTAATTTGACCTCTTAATCAAAAACATCCCACAATGTCTTTAAATCTGAGTATATTTGCAGTTGGTATAAATTTAATTGTTAAACAGTGACATTGTGTTATTTTGCAGGGTTACAAGCAGTTTGGTAGTGATGAAGAATATCAACAGCAGAACTTGTTTTTGGTCATGCTGTTTGGATAGATTCAGACTATGTGGGTGCAAACGATAAATGTTTCCCTTGTTCATTTCATAACTTAATTTCATAACCTCATCACAGTTCTTACACAATACTAGGGCATTATAATAATAATAATAATAATATTATTATAATATAATAATAGTCAGTTCCATAGTGTAGTGGTTAGCACACCTGCCTTGGAACCAGATAGCAGAGAGTCCTGGGTTTGAGGAGGAACCACATGCTAGGCGTAGCCTGTTAACAGAATATCTGTCGCTAACACAATCATTTCCCAAAAATGGGATCAATATAGTTCTTTTTTATATATATATATAATTGAAACTAAGACCAAACCCACATGTACTATAGTACTTCTGTAGTACTAGAATTCATAGTTGGATCGAAAAGTCTGGTTGTACTTTTTTTTTTAATTCTCTTTTGATTTAGAAAAGCACATTTCAATCACATACATCCAGGTCCAGGTCTTAAGAAATAACATAAATCTCATACCCAATTTCAATCCACTCATCGATGGTGGGAGGTTCCACTTTTAACCATTACCTCATAATAGATTTCTTACAAGCTGCTAACAGTATAGCAAGTAGTTTGGTGTCTTTTATGTTTCAAACAATATATTGCCCAGAAACAAAGTTTCACATTTTAATGGAATGTTCACGTTAAATACATTTTAAGTATGTTTCATGCATCTTCTTCCCAGTAAAACCTAATTGTTTGGCAGTTCCAAAATATAAAGTGGTTGGTTCCATTAGATCCACAGAGCCTTCAACAAGCACAATTCCAGCAGAATTCCCGCCATATATTTGACCTAGTTGAGAACCATTGCACTTGACATATTGAAAATATGTGTAACACTAAAGAGGGCTACACAGCGTACCACAGTTTGAGAACCACTGATCTATCTCATTCTTAGAACCTCTCGGTTGGTTTTTCAACTGGCAGACATTGGAAAAGATACAACATCCGGGGGAAGAATATTCATCTTGATTGAAACTCACAGAAAACAGAATAACAATCCATCTTCCTTTGTCAATTTTTATCTTTGAATTTAACGGGTCGTAGTTGATGTTATATAACCTTGTGAAGTGCCTATGTAATGAGACACTCAAATATTTAATGGACTCAGTATACCAATTCCTGTTGTACATGGTCTTAATTGAAGCCAGAGGGTCATAATTAAATGTCAATAGTTGAGTTTTCCATCCATCCATCCATCCATTTTCATCCGCTTATCCATTATTGGGTCGCGGGGGCAGCAGTCTCCATGACCGCCACCCAAATCACACTGCGCCGTACCAACCCCCCTGAACCTTCCTGTGGGTGGTGAGTCCACTGGAAGATACCAACTGCCCTAACCGGGATTTGGCCTTGCCCAGGAGGTGAACCCTGGGACACACCAATGACAGAGACATTGCCTCAGGGCCTCTCTTTCTATCAATTACCATTGTCTAATTTTTTGACTCATGTGTTGTACAAACAAGGCGAAGAGGAGCGGTGACGCGCAACACTCATGTGTTGTTCCTCCTTCCAGAATGAACGAAAGACTACCCTGAGGAGCGGTGACGCGCAACACTCATGTCTTGTTCCTCCTTCCAGAATGAACGAATTGAATAAATGTTCAAATTCAAATTCCAGCAGTTGGTCAAACATGTCAATTATTGTTGTGAGGAAGCCAAATTTTGAAAGTACTTTGTATAAAAATTACCATCTCACTGAGTCAAATGCTCATACTAACTCAATAGCAATGTCTGCTTCCAAACTTAATATCAATGTCTCCATGGGGGTCACGGTTTGGTACATTTTCGGTACGGGTTCAGTTTAATGAAAAAAAAGCAACAAAAACACGTACATAAGACTACCCTTTTTCATTTATTTTGTATAGACATTAATGGAAAAAATAGAATAAAACATTAAATAAAACGCATTACGATGCATACCAGTCATTCATTTTGTTCATACATAGGAAAAGAAAAAAACATAATTTCTTGTAAGGATAAACTGAGGTAGTCAGGTAGCAACTGGCAACATTACGAGAGTAATGAGAGACCTGCAAGCGCCCCTCCTTTTCTGTTGACACTCATTAGCAACCAAGCTACTAATCAACCCGGTCACGTTAATTCCACACCCCTACTACAATGGCCAAATGGATGATGCAAAACAGGAGCTTTCAAGACAGGTGGAGGTGCAGATTTTTCTGTTCACAAATGTTAAGAGCCTGTTTGTCTTGTGTATGGAGCCAACATGGCTGTAACAAAAGAAGATAATATACTGTAAGAAGACACTACAAAATGAAATACTATGAGAAGTACGAGGACCTGGACGTAAAGCAAAAGCCAGGAATATTAGATGTGGTTTCAAACTGTTGTATTATGTGGATAGCAAGGGTGAATGGAGTAGGGATACATTTGAGAGAAGCTTGTAAAGAGTGATGTGGATAGAGTTTCAGTAAGATTCATTAGCACCACAAGTTGGATGTTAGAAGTGAAACGGGATGTTTGGAGCAAAGTCAAAGTCATGTGGCAGAAGAGAGTAGTGGTTGTAGTGGACTTAAATGGACATACTGGTGAAGGGAACAGAGGTGGTCTTAGATATAGTGTCCAAAGACAGGAATACAGAAGGACAACTGATTGTAGACTTTGCAAAGAAAATAAAAATGGCTGTTGCCCTCTCCACCCTTAAATCGCCTACTGGATAAAGTATATGTATACGATTGTTAACTTTTAGGACCTGTATATACTGAGTGTATTAAGTGAATTATTC